TAGTTCATGAGCCAGTGAAGGCTGCTGGCCTTTAGTTTTAAATGGGTCTTCTTTGCTTCTATATGCTTTCTCCAGGTAAGCCTCCTGTCTAGGTGTATGCCGAGATAGGTGACTTCGTCTGCTTGTGGAACCGGCTTGTTGTTTAGCGTCAGTGGTGGGCATTTCGACAAGTTTAGTGTAAATGTAATGTGCTTACACTTTTGCTCATTGACTTTGATACGCCAGTCTGCGAGCCATTTTTCTACAGCTACCAGGTGTTCTTTTAAATGGGCTGTAGCTGTTTTTGGGTATTTCGAGCGGCTGACAATGGCAGTGTCGTCAGCAAAGGTTGAGATGAGGGTCTGGCGGCTTGTTGGAATGTCTGCCGTGTAAAGGATGTACAAGATTGGTCCAAGCACACTTCCTTGGGGTACTCCAGCTTCGATGTTACGGATGGTTGAAGTAAAGGTTTTACATCTCACGGTGAAAACTCTGTTTCTGAGGTATGACTCAAGCAACTTGTGAGTGTTTTCCGGTAGGAGGGTTTTGATTTTGTATACCAGACCGTCGATCCAGACGCGATCAAATGCCTGTGATACGTCCAGAAATAAGGCACTGCAATATTGCTTGTGTTCGAAAGCCGTGCGAATTTCAGATGTTAAGCGGTTTACCTGTTCGATAGTTCCATGCTTTTCCCTAAATCCGAATTGGTGCAGAGGGATCGTTCTGTTGTTTTGAAGATGTGTTACTAGATGAACAAGAAGCAGTTTTTCAAATAGCTTTGATAGACATGGGAGCAGACTGATGGGCCGGTACGAGGAAGGCTGGGATTTGTCTTTTCCTGGCTTCGGGATCATTGTAATGACAGACTTTTTCCATTGGTCAGGAAAGTAGCCCCATTTCAATATTGAGTTAAATATAAATGCGATGCATCTGACTGCGCATGCAGGTAATTCAATTATCATTTTTGGAGAAATAAAATCGTGACCAGGAGCCTTTTTTGGGTTTATGTGTTCTTTAATAACCTTAAGTATTGTGCTGGTTTCAAGGGTAACTGGGGAGGACGGCGACGCTAGCGAGACATTCGGTAGAGTGAATTGGTTGGATGGCGGGTGGGGCTTGAAGACGTTTGATGGGCAAAGGTGTTAGCTCTTTCTTCGTCACTGCGCGCCCAGGCACCTGTTTGTGATCGAATTGGCCAATCGGGATCTATTGGTGGCTGCATGTTTGGGTGCGCTCTCCATAGTGGGAATTTATTACCCGTCGGGGATAGTTTCGCAATGTAGGCCCGTTGGGCCTGGTTCTTTTCGGTAGAGAGGGCCTTCGACAATTTTCGAGATGCTTCATTAAGTCTTTTCTTAGTAGCTGGGGACCGATGAGTCTGCCAGTCTCTGCGAAGTCTACGTTTTTCAAGTAGGAGAGACTCGATCTGGATACTTGAGCGTCCGGTTCTTAGCGGGTTTGTGGATGAGGGTTCTGGCGTTGAATGTTTGGCGGCAGAGGACATTACGTCCGTGAGGTGTTTAAGCGACTTGTCAATGTCAGATTCAGAGGAAATTTCAGGATCAAGTTCGATGTGTGCACTTACATATTTTTTGTACTTCAGCCAGTTTGTTTTGTTTGATGTTAGATGTTGGGGGGCGTTCCAGAAGCTGCGGCTGTTCAGATAGACAGAGGAGAACTGGCGAATGGTCCGATGTAAGCTCTTCTAAGGTTTTTATGTTTATCAGCCTGTGCGAGACTCTTCTAATAACAGCGAAATCGATAATGTCAGGTTGTTTATTTGGATCTGTGGGCCAGTATGTAGGCCTAGCTGGTGAGACAAAGTCAAGCGCATTACCAGGAGTGATAATAGCGTTGTATAATTGGCGGCCTTTGGGGTTGATAAGACGAGATCCCCAGTGGGGATGCTTTGCGTTATAATCACCGGCAGCTATAAAGCAGCGTCCTAGTGAGTTGTAGAAATTCATAAACTCATTTTCTGCAATACTGAAGCGTGGGGGCAATATATGGCGGATAGGGTAAGTGGGCCGCCAATTAGGTTTATACGTAGGGATGTGGCCTGCAGGTAGTTAGTAGCGAATGTCTCCAAAGGATGATGTTTTATGCGTTGTTTTATGAGTATACCGGTACCTCCGTGTGCTTTACCGTCCGGGTGGTTGGTCGCGTGGAATATATATCCGATGATATGGAAGTAGTTTTTATTAGTTAGATGGGTTTCAGAAAGTAGCATGATATCGATATTGTGGCTGTTTAGGAACTGTAGGAGTTCGTTTTTGTGCCGGGAAACGCCGTTTGCGTTCCAGAAGCATATTCTTAAGGAGTCCATTTATACAGACTTTTGTTTGATCAGCAGTTCCATTAGAAGGCTCTGGTTTCGCAGTAGTTCTTGAAGGGAACTTTGAATCGTCATCATGACGTTTGCAAGAGTAGCTAGTGTAGATTCTAGACCGCTAAGTGTTTGTGGGGGAAGAGTTTGGTTTTGCTGCGTAGAAGGTTGACTTGTTGTTTGGCCATTTTGGCTTAAGAGCGGAAAATCATTTAGGTTTGATATGGGTGGCTGTGGACGTAATGCTGCAGGTTGGGCGGTAGATGTTTGTGAGATTCCAGGGTAGCGGAGTGCGTTGGCAAATGAGACACCAGGAGTGGTTGTTGATGGGGTGAAGATGTTTGGTTGGGCAGAGTGTTGAGCCGCGAGTGGATTACTGCGTCTCTGATTTAGGCGGCTCTTGAGTTCTTTGTAGACGGGACAGCCCCGGTAGTTGGCAGTATGATTTCCCCACAATTACTGCATTTCCTCAGAGTAGGGTCTTCTTTGTTTCCCAGGCATGCTTCAATGCAATGCAAATCTCCACAGGCGACACAAACTGGACGCAGGGTGCAGTAGGTTCTTGTATGCCCAAACTCCTGGCAGTTTGTACACTGTACGGGGCCGTTCCGCTTATGCGGTTCCTCTACGGTGATTCTTCGGTGAAGGAGATATTGCAGATTGTAAATAGGATGCACTGCATTTTTCTTTAGAGGTTTCGTCTCTGGGGCCAGCTCAATCTTAAACAGTGGTTGGGGAATTTTATCCCTGTTCACTATGTTTACGATGTGCTTAACGTCGAAGCCATTTTCCGTGAGGCCTTCAGCTATTTCTGCTACCGCAACAGTCGATTCTATACCTTTAAGTACAACTTGTAGGCCTTTCTTACTTTTTAGTTGGTAAGTGTAGTAATTTATAAGCTCATTGTCGAGATATCTTGTTACAGAACGGAAGTTGTCTTCGTTGTTAACCTGGAGTTTTGTTTCTAATATGTTTCCTCTTTTTAGGGTATTGATATAGAATTGGTTAGGCCCGATTACTTGTTTAAGCTTATTAATCAGATCGACACGGTTGTGTTTCCTAATATATATTGGCGGTGGCTTTACAGCTTTCATGACTTGAGGCGCCTGACCCTTGTCTTCTTCGGTCTCGCCAAGTATGGCAAATCTGTTTTCGGATGTTCGTGTGTTGCCTAAAGTTTTTGGTACTTTTGGCTAATTTGAGTTTACGTTTTTTTGTGGACTAAGCTTTCTTTTTATTTGTACATACCGATCGATCCCCGTCTGTACGAGAGTATTATTCGTAAGAGGGTCAGTAGAGCAAAGTTTTACTTGTGGTGTTGAGATAGGCCACTGGGTAGCCGCAGACGTTAAAGTTGTTGTTGTCGTTGACGTTGCTGTAGTAAGAGAGGGTACAGTGCTGGTGGGCGCACAAGCCGAAGTAGTCGGTGCATCGATGAGAGAGAGAGGTGACGGGCATTGTGAACTCCACGACTGAGTAACGGCAGCGCTGCTTGAGCATAAAATCGCTGGTGACAGTGAGCGGGCTCTTTCGGTAGCGGTCAGTGACGTTAATTTTGTTGTTGCCTCCAATGAGTCAATTGAAATGTAAGCATTGTTCCGTGCAGAAGACAGCCGTCGTTCGTCTAGTTGTATTTGTTGCCGATCGCGACTTGGCTTCGTGGCTTTACCGGTTGCACTTGTTAATATTTTATTTGCGTTCGACATTTTTAATTGATTTGATTAGCTAGATCGGTTTTAAATTTAGTTTTAATCACAAGGAGATGTTGACCTTGGGATATGGCATTGCTGCCAGCGTCTTTTCGCTATTTTTCTTAGTTTTGGTGGTCACTTTGTAGATTTTTGGAAGTCTTTCAGCAGGGCGAGCAAAAAGACACGTCTACGCGGTTCGGTGGTTCTGTTGGAACCAATATTTTGAGACCGAAAATATTTCCCAACCCCCGAAAAATAAATTAATACAATTAAATTAAAGATAATAACTGAAATAAAAAAAAAAAAAGAAGTGAACTCATCGAGTTTCAAATATGTTGGTACACTCACGTTCCCAGAGGATTTCCACTTATTTCGAGCTCTGGTTCACAGCATACAGATAGCTGAAATTTTTATTTAAATTCAAATGGATTCACAATTCAAATTAATAACATTTTTTCTTACACTTGTTGTTTGCCCTTCTTCAGCTTCTAATAGCGTCGTCACTTTCTTCTCCTTAAATTCTTAAGTTTTCCAATACTAACAATAAAATGATGAAACTAACAGTGTTGAACAACTTAAGAGTATTTTTAAACTAACAGATAAATTCAAATAAATCGACTTTTAAAATTGGACAGTTGGCGCGCGGCTAAACCTTCCTATTAGCCTCGCAACATCCCCTCCTCGTGATTCTTCTGCGTGACTACGCTGAGTATTACCAATCCTTATGATGTCCAATTTAGCCAGCTTAACTGCCGGGCGAGTAACGAGTCCTCCTGGTGTACGTACAACACAGCTACGAACTTGTCCATCCTTCGCCAAATGAACATCCACGACGATCCCTTTAGGTCAGTAGTTTCGCTTGCTTGTTTCATCAACAATAAGAACCACGTCATTCACGGAAATTGGAGCTGGGTTCGGCTGAAACCATTTTGTACGTCTCGTCAGATTCGTAGATACTCTCGAATCCATCTCCTCCAGAAACGATTTGCTAGTTGACCAACGATGCGGAAATTTTTGGCCAAGCCTAATCCGTTGGTTTCCATCGCACCGCGTTCCCGTAGACCACTGGAATTACCAACCAAGAAGTGGTTTGGAGTAAGGGCTTCCGAATTTTCCGATTCCAACGGAATATAGGTCAACGGCCTTGAGTTTAAGGTGCATTCGACATCGGCCAACGCAGCGCGCAATACTTCCTCGCGCAGACCGATGTTCGACAGAATTTCCGTCAGGATTGACTTTGTTGAACGCACCATACGCTCCCAGCTGCCGCCCATATGAGGCGATCCAGGAGGAATAAAGGTAAACGACATCTCCGGATACTGGCTTTCCACTGCTGACGTTGATATACGTTCGATCTCTTGAGCGAGTACTCTGCTGGCTCCCCGAAAATTCGTTCCGTTATCGGATAGCATCTTAAGGGGCACACCTCTGCGAGCTGTAAATAGTTTTAGAGCCAATAAAAATGAGTCCGTGGAAAGAGATGGCACCAATTCTAAATGAACAGCGCGAACTGTTAGACAAGTAAATAAAACTCACCATCTCTTTTCGCGACGCCTTCCTAAAGCAACTTCAATCGGTCCAAAGTAGTCTTCTCCAGTAAATGTAAATGGCAGTGTATGTGCCGATAGACGTTCCTTTGGTAAAGTTCCCAGCATCGGTGGAATGGGTTGTGCTCGGTGGTGATACTCTGTTATAAGGTATGCAATCCTGTGGTGACGCGAAAGTATAACAGGACGCTTTACGCTGACTTCAACGTTTTCGATAGCATCGATTCGACCGTGCATTCGAAGCACTCCGACTGGGTCCAAGTACGGCGAGCATTTATATATTTTGCTTTTCCGGTTTGTCAGTCATCGATTTTCCTTAAGGCATCGAATTTCATCAAAAAACTCTTCTTCTTGACATGTGCGTATGAAAATTGTGTCCATTTCAACATCGCGCTTGAGCAAAAGCAATCCCTCCAGCTCAGGTCCGTGCGGTTTCACGTAAAGAAGGCGTAGAAAATCTAAAACTCTCTTTTGCGTTCCGGCATTATACATGCGAAAGGCGATATTTGTTTCTTAATTTCCTCCTTGTGGTACAATACTTGAGTTTCTCTGGTTTTAGACATTTCATTTCCGCGCGGCCACTCCGATTCATCTTGACACAGATAATTCGGTCCGGAAAACCATCGTATTGAACTATTTACCTCAACACTTTTTGTCCATTTAGTCCCATCGTCCGCTACATTTAGTTCCGAGGGTACCCAGCGCCATTCACCAACTTCGGAGCCTTCAAGAATTTCTCCGACTCGTAAAGCTACAAATTGCGTGTACTTGCGAGCGTCGGATCTTATCCAGAATAGAACATCTTGAGCATCCGTCCAGAATACGCGTTTTTCAATTTCGTTAGATAGCTCAGACTCCAAACACTTGGCCAGGCGCAACCCCAAAACCGCTGCCATTAATTCCATTCGTGGTACCGATAGCAAGGAGCATCGGATTTCGTCTCCAAGATCAACACGCAAATAAGCTACCGCAGCGTAAGCATCCAAACTAGCATCAACGAACATATGTAGTTGCAGGCTACTAACATTGCTCGAGCAAGACATGTAGCGAGGAATACGCAGATCGCTCAGTTTTGGCAGTAAGGCTTGCCATTTTATACAGTCGATCTCATCCGGTTCCTTGACTGCGTCATCCCAGCCCACACCAGACCTCCAAATATTTTGGAGAATAATTTCGGCACGTACGTTAAAAAATCTAAGAAGCCCGAGTGGATCGAAAATGGACATAACGATACTCAACACTCGGCGCTTCGTATGAGAGCCAGCTGACGACCTCTGCAGCAACTCAGGCTTGATGACAAGCACTTTCTCCTGTAGTTCGTCCTGTGTGCCAAGATACTTAGGCGGTGCTTCATAAACTTCATTCAGAGAGCGTACGACGCGCTTGGAGTTTGATAGCCAATTTCTCATTTCGAATCCACCCTTCGCGTGAATATCCTTAATATTATTCGCGAGTTGAACCATTTGCTCCTCTGTATCAACTGACTCCAGCCAATCGTCAACGAAAGTGTTTCGACAAATTGCTTTCACGGCTTCTGGATGACTTTCACCAAATCTCTCTGCATTACGTCTCAATATAAAGTTGGCAAGTGACGGCGAGCATGCAGCCCCGAACGTCATCACTTGCATTACGAATGTATCCGGTGGGCGATTAATTTCTCCATTACGCCATAAGAACTTCTGGGAATATTGGTCTAGGGCGCAAACCTTAATTTGATGAAACATTTCCCGTATATCGCCTGATACTGCTATAGGTCGTTCTCTGAAGCGCAACAACACACCCATCAAGGACACCAACATATCTGGTCCTTTTAAAAGAGTGTCGTTTAGTGATATGCCGTCAACTTGCGCTGCCGCGTCCCAGACCAGGCATGTCTTCTTTTTGTTAGGGTTTGTAACCGTGAATATAGGAAGATACCAAGAACGTGGACTGTTTGATAACTCCCACTTTTCCAGTTTGCGAATGTATCTCTTTTCCTTGTAGTGCTGCATGGTATTATTCAAAAACGTTTTCAGCTTCGGATCTTTTAACATTTTCGACTCAAGGCACTTGAGCCTTTTAAGAGCCATGGGGTACGAATCGGGCATATTGATTTTGTCGTACTTCCACAACAACCCAGTCTCCCAGCGCCTTTCGTTGGAAATGTAATTTGTAGTTGCCTCCATTATCTTTAGCGCCTGTTCGTCTTCCTTAGATCGCAACGGTTTTATAGGAACACTCACGCCGAATGACTCCAACGAGAAGAATGCCTTCATAGCTTCGTCAAGTTTCCGCGTACCGCAAACTGTTGTGCAGTGGCAGATATGGAATACATGAGTTGGCGTGTCATTTTCCGGTCCTTGGCGGCCGTACACAGACCATCCTAATTTACATCGAACGGCAATAAGGTCGTCATTTTCAGCTTGACGTACCTCCAGCGGCACACTGATCTTAATGTTGTCTAGTCCGATGATAATTTGAGCCTTATCATCTTTGTATGTTGAAATCGGAACTGTTCTCAAGTGCTGACGTTCTTTAAGTGTCCGATTTTCGATGCTTTGCAATGGAAGATTCAAATTGCTTACAGTACGCACTCCTTTAAGTCCGTGTCTTAATTCCGGACGACCCTCAGCGGAAACACTGACGCTAACGACTCTCGATTTTGACTCGCTCTGGGTCTCGTCGCTAGTCCACTTAAGACAAAGCTGCTCTTCAGGACCGTCAAGCCCTAGCTCATCGGGCCTTCGTCGATTAGAGCATAAACGTCTATTCTACGGGAATTATTATGCAAAGTTACTGGTATATAACGGAACAGGGCCTTTGTTGTTGATTTCTCATGAAAGAAAACTGTTGACTCGCTGGTCTCTGAATCGCCGGTTTTTCTAGGGCTGTCCTCTTTGTCATTACGAATCTTCTGTTAATCTCAGTATTCGGATAATGCAGTAGCGCGTTGTGCGGTAACTTACATCCATCGAGGGTGCAAAGTTTCTTCACTCTGCAGTTACGGAGAATATGCTTTCCAAAACAATAAAATCAAAGTCGTTTGGATTTAATAAATTCCACTCTCGACTTGATGGACATGGATAAGAATCCTTTGCAATTTGCCAGATCATGGTCGCAGCCACATTCTGGACAAGGTTGATCTTCTGTGACGTGTGCCTTCGACTTGCAGTCGTCATTGCTTCCTAGCATGTCGTGCACTAGCAGGCGCTTCTTTGAATACCTTCCACTTTTATCTTTCTCTGTTGACTGACATTAATAGGGTGCAACCATCGTTGCGCACATCGCTATTCCAAAGAGCCACTTGTCAAAGGTGGTCAAATTGGCGGCACCAGTTGCTAAGCGATGTCTACCCCAATCCAGCTTATGATCACTTGGCAACTTAGCAACCAAATCGCTTAACAGAGAATAATCATTAAGGTATTCCTGTAGTCCTACTGACATCATTGTTGCACAATAATTCTGGACTGCCAGTGCCAGTCGAATCACGGATTCCAAATTGTTGGGTTTGATGGACGGCTCTTCTTAAAGCTTCCGTTGCAAGCTAGCATGCACTATTTCTGAACGTCCATACAACATCCTTAGCGTTCCAATAGCATAAGGTACCATAGCTGGGATCATGAGCTTTCCTCGCACAGCTTCTAGCGCAGATCCTTTAAGGCACGCGGCTAAACCTTCCTATTAGCCTCACAACAAAATATTTGTTCCAATCTTCTTGTTTTTACGGCATTGTGGGTTCTACTCCGCATAAATTAACGGTGTGACTGTTCGCTTTTTTTCATCTCTGGTTGCGTTTACGTTCTGTTGTCGTACTAAAAAAAAATTCAACTGGCGTCAAATACGCCGAATAGCTCCTCTTGTGGCAGCATTCGACTTTGGTTTTTTTTCTCTTCCGTTCGTTCATTTGCAGCGATGACCAACTCGTTGGCGACCCACCGAGAGCTTTACTTTGAACATCCGCACGTCCCAACGAGACGCCCATTACTCAGGTCAGTCGACAAGAGCTGATCCGCAGAGTTCGAGTCCGAGAATGCCCATGGGAGACGACCAGAAACCGCGGTCGATCCCATCAATTCGTTTGGACGGGTCTCAATTAACGCCAAATGCTGCAACTGCCATTCCACGGGGAAAAAGCGACGAGTCGGTCGGTGTCTAAGATGGCTCAAACTGCGATAGACATCGCCCCCAAAAGGTTTATTGCCACAACAGACCGGGTTAGCCAATTTCAGGCGGATAAACCTGAACGACTTTCCCCTGGCATGTGCCAAGTCCATCGGGACCAAATGACAATACGGCCACCTCGACAGTGCTTGAATCCAAGTACAGTTACTGCTACTCCGTCCATTCGAGGTGTGTGGTCCAGCTTCAGGACATAATAGACAAGGCCGCCTCCCAGCCCACTCAGGCTTCCGTCAGTGTTCCAACACCGCTGTCTACGGGTTGTCGTTTGCCACCAGTGAACACCGAAGTTTTCGCTGGTGATTAACTTCGTTGGCCCACATTCAAAGATCTTTTCACCGCGATATAAATCCACAACTCACGTCTAACACCGGTGGAGAAGTTGTTCCACCTATTGTCCAAAACAAGTGGCGATGAGCACGCCATTGTTTCCAAAGCTGACCAAAATCGGCGGTTATTAGTCAATAGCCAGTTGAAAATCCTCTTTAACATTCAGGCAGTATCACAAGAGTCCGAATCCGCTCTAAAAGACCTTCAAGGCACAATCCAAAGTTGCCTAATAGCCTTAGAAATGTCCTCTATTCAAGTCGAGACTTAGGATTATCCCCTGGTGTATATGGTTTCTTTTAAGCTTCCCAAAATCACGCTTTCGATGGGGGAGCAATTCATTCACAACAAGGCTGAAATTCCAACATCGAATGAGTTAGACTCGTTCTTGACAGAGCATCATCGTACTCTGGAGGCTATCGACGAAGTTGTTCCACCTATTGTCCAAAACAAGTGTCGATGAGCACGGCATTGTTTCCAAAGCTGACCAAAATCGGCGGTTATTAGTCAATAGCCAGTTGAAAATCCTCTTCAACATTCAGGCAGTATCACAAGAGTCCGGATCCGCTCTAAAAGACCTTCAAGGCACAATCCAAAGTTGCCTAATAGCCTTAGAAATGTCCTCTATTCAAGTCGAGACTTAGGATTATCCCCTGGTGTATATGGTTTCTTTTAAGCTTCCCAAAATCACGCTTTCGATGGGGGAGCAATTCATTCACAACAAGGCTGAAATTCCAACATCGAATGAGTTAGACTCGTTCTTGACAGAGCATCATCGTACTCTGGAGGCTATCGACGACATCAGGCCTAGCAGTTCGGGTCAGTTTCCGCCAAGGTCGACACCTGCGAGCTGGTATCCTGATCTTTGCACATCTGCATGTGATAACGGGTCATAAACCATATGCACCCAGCCGACGGACGTGTCTTCACACCATCTGTCATAACCTTTGGGAAACTTTAACCCGACCATCTGGTAGATGTAATTGCTTACTTAGGCTATTATTGCTGTAAACTGATAATAAACCATGTTGTCCATTTTTATCTAGACTAGACCTAAGTAAATATCCTTGTAAACCCAAATCATGTATATAAACCCGGATCCATGCTCAATAAAATCAGTACGGAAAAAAATCTTGACGTCTTCACTTCTCCGCAGCCCAATTTATTCTGTACTTATTGCGGCTTTTGCCACTAGTTCTGTACTTGCGTCACGCAACAAAAATATTTTCAGCATACAGATTTCAGTAGAAATCCCTCATTTGGTGACGCCCGACCTTGAACCGCAACATCGATCATAGTTTAATCAACGAAAGGTCAATTTGGTAAAAATTTGAACCGCATATTTTGTTCAAATAAAAATTTGCAATTGATTCTGCTTCATCAATCACAAGTGTGATATTAAAAAAAAAAGTATAAATTTGGTCAACCTGGCGACCAATTTGTTAAAAACCCCAAAAATAATAATACTTTTGGTCAACTAGGCGACATATACCATTTTTGTTGCTGTGTTCAACTATTGATAGTCAGCATTAATTTACAGTCTTCAACGGTCAGCAAGGCGACCAAAAGACATCAAAAGACATCGAGGCACATCATAACAAAATACCTTTTGAACGGATTATGTAAGAAAAGTAAAAATGACACTGAACAGCATTCATCAGTTGTTGAATGAACAGTTTTTAGTAGGAGAGCAAATTCAGAATAGCGTTTGAAAGACTAAGCCAGCCTACTATAGAGAACGTTTATTAACGTTAGAATCCTTGTGGGATAAATTTAACTCCGGAGAAATACAAATAAATGATTTCTTAATGGAGCAACTTTAGAACATGATTATTTCAAAAACGAATTCTTTATTATTATAATACTAAATTCAATAAGCAGTTATCTCTGTTGGAAATGGAGGTTGGATCCATTGCATCCACAGTAGAGGATACTGAAATAGAATCGATGTTCAGAGAACAAAGAGTGTTGCTTGATAGTTTAGAGCGCATCATGAACAAAATGTCTAATGAAACCAATCAAAATTTTTCTCACGTCATTGCACAGTCCTGGAATGAAATAAGAAATATTCATGTCCAAATTTATAAGAAGTTCAAAGACCCAAAGGAACTTGGATATGATGACAGCAGATATATGGCAGCGGAAGATGCAGTCATAAAAAGTACTTAAAGAAGGAGACCACAAATATTTCTCCAACAACCGCTGTACAAAATACATTTTCAATAGGTAGCGACACCCAAATTTTTTTTTGTTTTTTTTTCTTTTGATATTTATGCTTTATTTATTGAATCTTCTCTATATGAGACTTACAATAAGTATATAAAATCTGGGCTGGTAGATCGTTTCGATGCAGACGAGTTCTGTTCGAAACCCGTGTTGGGTTTCTTGCGAGATTATTTGGGTGCATTGTAAGCATTGTAAGGCCGCTTTCTGCTTTGCTATTTCATCTTTGACCGGTGGTATTCCCAGATCCCTGTGGATGTTTTCGTTCCGAACATGGTGCCCCAGTGATTGTTCGCAGGATTTGATTGTGTGTCAACGTTGCTGTTGCTCGCGTTCCCCCGGAGCAGGGAGCCGTACGTCCAAATGGGCTTACAGGGTAGGCCCCAGTACGCTACCTTGTGGGACTCCGGCTTCAATGTTATACTCGTTGGATGTCGTTGTAACTTATGAGTGTTTTCTGGCAGTAATGTTATGATTTTATGCATAAGGCCTTCAATCCACACTCGGTCGAATGCCTGAGAGACGTCGAGGAATATCGCACTACAATATTCCCGATGTTCGAAGGCTGTACGAATTCAGAAAAGTTATCCGGTTGACTTGCTCAATGGTTCCGTGGCTTCCACGAAACCCGAATTAATGTGCCGGGATTCCGTTTTGTTCTCTTAAATATGGTGTAATGCGCGTCAGCAGGCATTTTTCTAGTAATTTGGACAGGGAATTAAGTGGTCTTTCCCAGGCTTCGGTATCATTATAACCACAGACTTTTTCCATTTTTTGGGGTGGTAGCCAAGTTTTGTGATCCCGTTAAATAGCTTGCATATAACATCCACTGCGCAGTTTGGAAGTTTAATTATCAGTTTTGGGTCGCCCCCTAGAGCCTTTTTCGGTTTTATTTGCTTCCTAATGACATTACCAATTTCAGGTGCTTGAAACAAAATCGGGTTAATTGCAATTTCAGATCTAAGCGGCGGTTGTTGAAGAGAGTTTGTGGCGGCGTTCGGCTGAAATACATTTCGTAGGTGTAAAGCAAATGTTTCGGCTCTGTGTTCGTCACTGCGGGCCCAAGTACCCGAGGAGTTTCTAATTGGAGTGACTGATTCTATCGGAGAGCTTAAATTGGGGTGAGCTCTTCACAAAGGATGCTTTGTACTAGTCGGCGACAGTTTCTCGATGTACCGGCGCTGCGCAAGCTCCTCTTCTTGCTTGAGGGTTTTGGTGAGTCTGCGGGTGGCATCATTATAGA